TGCAAAAAAATTAGACAAATAGACTTCAATTAAAAACACGTCTCATTTTAAATTTAAAATTAAATATTAAAATTTCTTATCATTTTGTTACATTAAAATCCCGAATGAATTGTTTGCCATAAAATCGGACAGAGTAATAATTGCATAAAATTCAAGTAAAAACATTTCTCATTTAAAATTTAGAATTTAAATTTTAAAATTCCTTATCATTTTGTTACATTCCCAAATGATTTGTTTCCCATAAAATCAGACGGAATTAATAATTGCCTAGAATTCAGGTAACTTTCGAATTTATCTCAAGGATGATTAATAATTGCATAGAATTTCAAAGATGTTTAATTATTATATATAAAAAAATCTAAAAAACATTTGTGTATATTTTGTAAAATATTCGTACAAAATGTTTTACTTTAAATTTATTTACATAATTTAATTTATTGCATTAACAGATAATATTAACATACATTAAATATTTTAATTACATGAAATAAAAAGAAGAAAAAGACTACATCTATAACTTTTAAAAATAATAATGACATTATATTAGAATAATTTTTATAATAAAATAATAATTGAGTATACAAGGAAACAAGATTAAGTAATATTGTTATTTTACTTATATCAATGAATAAACATATATACTGAAATCAAATTTATATTATTATAAACGTGTGGAGCGGGATAATATATTAATTTATTTACGGGCTAGCGCTACCAGACTCAAGTTTAACGTCCCGACAAACAAAATGACGTTGATGAAAAGAGGTAAAAGATAGGTTTAACGTCCCGACAAAAAAAATAACATAAAAGAGGTAAAAAATAGATGATCAAACTCTATTATTTTTTAGGCTTGAACGGACAAGCCCAATGGTCCACTCATTTAATATCTCTCGTAGATCGCATGAGCTACTTAACGGACAAGCTCTGTAGAAATGATTCATTTAACATTTGCATAAACTAGAAAGTACCACATCTTATAGTTACTATAGAACACTCTTGCATTTTTATTGTGTCTACTTTTTTAGGTAAAAGATTCTATCATATAAATGAGTGCCGCGTACTGGTTTCCCTTGAAAAGGAAAACTTAGGGTAAACTGCGCCAAACCCCCCTGTGTTATAGGAAACAGGCGCGTTACTACCCTGTGTTTTAAAAAATGCATAACACCCCCTTGTATTAGAGTAAGTGAGTAACCGATGCACACGCTCCCTTTTTTTATTTGTCCAGTTAACGGAGTTAATTTTTTGCTGAAAACTCCGTTATACTCTCCGAATTTTTTATATATATTTTTGATAAATTGAATTTATCACGATATTTTGAAAATATCACGGTAAATTTGCTTAAAAAATTTTGCAGGCCATGAGGTTCGAACCCAAGACCTCATGGGAGAAAAGGAGCATTGCTACTACCCCACCAATACAACTTGTGTGTTAGATTTAAGAACGTTAAATATATATAAACATTACACATGTACAAATCAAATTAAATTTAAAAGATAATGTAAATTATATTAAAATACATTAATAAACTATAAACTTATAATAAACTAAAATATAATAAACTATGCAACATAAATTGAATAATTACAATAACTTATATGTATTTATACAAAAATTATAGTTAAAATAACAATATTTATTGTATTTAATTTAAATTATTTTCATCTACTTTTGTTTTTATTATTTATTTTAAATTGTATTATTTCATATTATACTATTGAATTATTCATTTTCTTTCATCTTATTATATCTTTGTTGACGGACGTTTCCGGTCAACGATTAAAAAAGATAGATGGTAAAGAAGTAAAAGATGAGGGAATACGGTTTAATTAGGATTTTATTAAAGGATCACGAGGTCGGCCTCTCGTACGAGGTCGGCCTCTCGTACGAGGTCGGCACTTGCGATATATTTACAAATTCTTACAGAGTTCTTACACGAGCCTAGAGAGAGAAAATGTAGAGAGAGCTTAGACAGTTGGGATTCAACAACCCAAAAATAAATGAAGGGTTTGGTATTTATAGTGCTCTTTAATGCGGCACTGTTCAGGTACTGTTCACCGGTCTTGTCGTACAGTAGTTCGACGGGACAGGTCGGCGTTTCTCTGACTGATTGTGAGTGATTTCCGGGTCTTCCAATCATTACCTGCAACGCATTTAATGCTGGTGTGAGCTGCATTTAATGCGGACATGCTCCTTGGCCGGGCTAGACGTCCTAGACCTGCAGGCTAATTTGGGGCGTCCCATCGGCAATCATTGGTTGGCAAGTGGCCTTATTTAATTATTTTCTGGGTCCCTAATATCTACGAGGGCCAGACTGGCAGGGTACCGAGCTGGGCTATATCAGTCCCTGGCCGTCCTCCGGCGTCCGGGGTCCTTTATAGATCTCGGCACTGAGTCAGGTCGGCCTCGCGACTGGAGAAACGAGGTGCCGACCCCGAGTCCAATTCTGACCGCCATTTCTATTGTCTTTGACTTCTGCTCGGCTCGGCATTTACAAACAATCCTGGTGACCGGCCCCCTTGGTTCGACCGACCACCACCCGACTCCCGGTCTCTCAGACCGGTATCCTTATAGGGGCCGGACTCGGATATTAACAATCTTAGTTATCAAATTTTATTTATTTTGTTTAACTTAATACAATGATATAAAATTAAAATATATTTTACTAAATAAAATTTTGAAATTAAAATTATTTATTTTTACTTAAAATCATTTACTAAAAATAATAATTTCTTTCTAATTTTTTATTCATATGGTATTGAAGAGTAAATTGTACTAAAAATTATTAGATAAATAATATTTTTATTTTACTATGTTAATTTAATATTTTTATTTATTTTAATTTACTATTTTATAATAAGTTAATTTATTTTACATTAATATTTTTATATTTTATTATTTTATATTATATTTTTTATGTTATTTTAACTAGTTTACTTTAATTTTATTCATTTTCTAATTTATTATTATTATTATTATACATTTACAATTTATATTATTAATTTTATTTTAATAAATAAAATTGTTAATTTATTTAATTTTACTTCCTGCTACTATAATTACTTTTATCTTACTTTATTATAATTTATTTTTCATTATTTTTATATTAATTTAATTTATTTCATGTTATTATTATATTATTATTATTATTGTTATGATTATTTAATATATATTAAATGTACCTACTATATTAATTTATTGTTTTTATTTTTAAATCTATTTTTTTTTATTATTATATATTTCCAAATTTATATTAATTTTAATTTTATAATAAAAATATATAATTTATTCAATTTCAATTCATGCTACTATATTAAGTTCTATCATACTGTATTTTTTACATTATTTTTATTCTCAAACTCTTATTATTATTATTATTATTTAATTTGTTTTAAATTTACCTATTATATTTTTATTTTACTTTATTAATTCGTTTAGAGTTGATATAATAAATGTAGTTGTGTACAATTCTTATACAAGAATCTATATGGCCCATTGGTTAAGTGGGCAAGCTTACCTCGTTGAGACCCAAGTTCGATTCCTCCTATTGACAAAAGATTTTAGCTTGTTCAATAAAGCACAGGAGGGTATAAAGGTAATTAAAAGATAATTTATTAATAATGTAAAATAAAAAAAAAATATAAAATTTTCGCAGATATAGAAGGTGTTGTGCACGCACCGTTAAGTTGGACGGAATGGGTGAATCGTGCAACAACTACTTAAATACAAGGGGGTGTCACAGACGGAATGGGTGAATCGTGCAACAACTACTTAAATACAAGGGGGTGTCACAGGGTAGAAGCGCGTTTCGTATAACACATGGGGGTTTAGCGTAATTTGTCCGGAAAACTTATTTTAAAAAGTAGCTCATGAATGAAAAACAATCATTGATTGATATGGTCTCCCATTATTTTAAGCATCGATGTGGTCTAACTTTTGTTACATATTTTTGTTATACACTTAAGTCTTTAATGATAGGATAAATAAAAAAAATATTAAACTAAATTTTTGCATTATTTAGATTGAGTTTAAAATGATATCTAACCAGATATATGTGATAAATTTTATTAAACAATTTTTTTTATGGGGACACATTACGTTTAGATTGTAGACCCATTTTTTTTTTAAAAATCTGCTTCACGTGATTCATTATTATATGTCTATCATTTGAACTAGTCTTATTTTACTCGCAATTGAGATTTTTTTTACATAAAAGGTATGAATTCCTTTACTGTAATAGATACATCGAAAATGTAAGGAGGTGAATTTAGAATAATTTTCAGACTTATTTTAAAAGCCATAATTTTCACTACAACAACTAAAATTATTGTTTTTTCCCTCTTCTATTCTATCTCTATGTCCACTATGCTGTCAAACAAATAAAAGAAAATGCTTGGCTGCAAAATTAAAGAAAA